AGAACACACACGACTGTGCAAGAGTAGAGGTATAAAGAAGAGCTGGAGAAAGCAACCACAGCAAAAACCCCATTCAACCCCTACATCACGGCCAGCCATGCTGCGGGTAACCCAGTCAGCACTTTAAGAATTAGCTACATACTGGATATTCTCAGCTGGACTTTTTTCTTCCTAGTTTATTGCCAAGAAGCCTCTACTGATGATGCAAATGCCAAGATTTTACAGAAGGTTACAACTTCACCAAATTTGAGGGTGCAGAAATCAGGCATTCTCCCTACTGTCACATGCAGAAGTGGTCAAGAGTGCTCGGCCCTCCTCTCCCTGCCCCAGAGTAGCATGGCCAGGCTGATTGCTGGGGCTCAGCAGCATCAGCTCTGGGAGCTTCCCCCAGCCACCCCATCACCTTCAGCAGGGCTGCACCACCTGGAGGACCAGGAGGCAGAAGGACCAGGAAGGCTGATTTGCACATGGGTAAGAGACCTGGCTAAAGTGGGGAACAGCGGGGAGAGCGCAGCCCTTTTGGGCCTCTGGAAGGGAGCAGCAGGGAGAGGTGAGTGGTGTGGTGGGAGTCCAGAAGCTACCAGCTGGACCATGGGGCCATTGGTCATGGTCTGCAGGCCTGCCTGTGGGAGAGGAGGCTGAAAGAGAAGCCTGCCAGGGCTCAGGATTTGCTTGTGGTGTGAACATATTCAGATTCGGCAGGAGGACTCACCTGAGCTGGAAGGAGACTGGACGTTTGTGGTGCCTGGGATGCAGTGCTGAGTTGCGGCTGTGGTAGAGGTAGGCTGCAGATCTGTGTAGAGAAATGGAGACATAACAGCTACTTTGTCTTACCATGACACGAGGGCATGCCCTGCATGGCCAGTCCGCCATCGAGTCTGAAACGCCCTCTCTTTTTAGACACAGAAAGGGAAATGACTGACATTTCTGCCAAAAAAACAGGCAACGATACAGAAGAAACAGCCCCAAATCACCTCCAGGAAACCCAGCAATGGCAGCAGAAACACTGATCTTAGGGAAAATGGACTTCAGGAAACAAAGTGGCTGTGGAGAGCAAGGCTCCGACAAGCCTGCCCGGGCTTCAGAGAGTGCTGACAGCTGGCAGCCATTGGGAGAGGGAGGATGGCAACCCACTAGACAGAAACACGTGGGGAGACGGGGCAATCCCACTCTGTCAGGAGAGGCTCAGGCAGCATGCAGGGACTTCAACAGCTTCTGGCGGCAGCAAGAGATTTTGCTTCCAACAGAGCAGCCTGTCTCCTGTCCTCACCCTCCTGCCCTCAAGCTGGGCGTCCCTCCAAGCTTGGTCCAGGTGTGATGGAGCGGGGCCAGCTGAAGCCTTTGTGGCTGGCTAGGAGCTGGCAAGCAAATTTTGTTTACACCCACTGAGCTACCCCACCTTGGAGATTCTCCTTTCAATCCTGTAGTGGGAACTGCATTAGCCTTAAAAGAGCCATGGAAATCCACCCTTCTCAGAGGGCAGCTCTGTTTTAACATCTACAAGAACCAAGGACAACATGCCCACAGGCTTCTCCCCAGCCCATGTACAGGCTGACAGAGGTTCTGTCAACCCACAGATTGCTTGGTGATGGGGTGAAGCTTTCCAGCTAAGCTGGCTTGGCCTAAAGGGTTTAAAAGCAGGGGAAAAAGAGACCTTGGTGCTGTAAACCCAAGCCTTTTCCTACTGTGCTTTTTTCCTGCCCACAATAAAGGACAGGTCACTGTACAAGCTGTTGCATTCTGCTTGCTCATGTGAGCAGTTGCATGAAGACTTGCCCCATACAGTTGTGTAAGGAGATAATTATGGTTCTGTAATTAGCCATGTGGAAGGACAGGCTGAGGAGGGAAGCATTGCAAGAGCAGGCACAGAGAGGTCCCTGAGCCAGAGCCACCAAACAGTTGGGCCAGCTAAGTCTGTAAGATAGGAACAGAGTAGGGATGAAATTTATAGGGGAGGAAATAACCAAATCAAATGAGTCACAGCATACAAAATACAGGCATCGGTTGGACTACTAAATAGGAGAGCTAATTGGACATAGTCATTATATTACTGTGGGGGAAAGTCCAGAAATAGGTATTCAAGCAGTGAGTTTTAGATAGTTTTTGCAATTTCTCCTTTTTTCTGTTTTAGCAGATACACAAAACCAGACTGTACTTGTTTATACACACGTCCTGACTGAGGTGTATATTTATTTTTACACTGGGAGACCATTTGTAAACATGACAAGAACATTTGAGGGGTTACTAAATTGAAAAGGAAATGCATTCTTAAATTACTTCTTAGGTCCTGAAAACAATTTGCAAGCAAATATCCTGTTCTCCAGAGAGGAAACTCATTAACCATTATAACAGCCTTGCATATGTTTGGAACAAGAGTCCTTGAAACAGAATAATGATTGCAGACAACTGTCCTGTGAGGTCTGTCAGGAGGGCAATGGTTACCCCTCTCAACTGCAACTCTATCCACTCCTCTTAGTCTACAAATGAAAAAGCAAATATCCATGGACATATCAGAGGGGACTGACAGATCCCAAAGAACTGGCCTCCAAGTCCTCCCATTTCTCCTGTAAGGAAACCAGCTAATGGAGCCAGAGCACTTTACCCTCAATAGCCAGGAGATAATTAGGTTGGCTACTGATTGCTTTTGTGTCAATGAAACTAAGAAATTGATGGAGTTGCCTTTCCACAACTTTCCTAATGATCTTCCTGAAATGGCAGGTGGGTCACAAATCAGCAGCCAGCTAGGTTGTCAGCATCAACAACTGTTTTCCAAGTGCTGGCACACAGACTTTTGGTTCGTGGAGCTTATGTGCTTTCGATCCTGTAGGATCCCTGTGGAGAAGACGGACACCTTTGCACAATGTTCCAACTATGCAGAAGCATCTCGGAGAGGTGCAATGGTTTACGAGTCTTCCGAAGTAAGAGGACATACAGACAAAATTTTCCAGTGCAAGTAGGGAA